TCCTTTCATGAACAGACCAAGTTCTTTAAGGGCATTTATTCTGCTTCATATAAATAATTGATCAGCCAAGTTAATTTACTTCTGCCTGACTTGGTCAACCTTAATTAACTGCCCTGGAATCAAGACTGAACTTTTTGTTAGCTTTAAAATCTTTCACGAGCATGATAACAAGGGCTTTATTTTCCCTAAATTTTCGGCATCAACACTGTAACCAAGGAAATAATCATAATAATAAAGCGCTGCTTTAATTTACTATAAATACATTGGCCTGGACATTTTGAATTTTCCAGAATACTTCCAGAGAGCAGCCCTGTTGGCAACGGCAGTAAGTAAAGCACGCTGAACTGAGTTCTTATCCTTTTCTGCAAGTAAGTCCCTCCAGCACACACACACACACACACACACACAAAAAAAAAAAAATCGATCTTTTGGAATCAGTAGTGCTGTAATGTTTCCAAGCAAGACTAGAAATGGGTCATCTTGGCTTCCTTCAGCAATTGCGGCCGCCTCCTTTGTAGGGTTGTGGCGAATGGATCGTGTGATTTAACCAGGCCAAGCTCTACTGGGGAGGCTGCTTAGGAAGGAAGAGACAGGTTTGGCTCGTTCCTGGAGAAAGGTCTTGCCAGTGGGCATGGCGTGGCTGTGCCCTGCAGGCGCCATACTTCCATGCACAGGGACTTTGGATGATTGTGCAGTGTCCCTTGCCTGCTTGTCACGGAGCAAGGCAAGTCATCGGTTGTAGGGAGTCCCAGAGGGACGTGGAGGTTATGCAGATTGGAATGGGCTTCCTTTAAGAAAATTGGGAACAGTGTTTTGTGATAGGGAAGACAGATGCCTCTCTGTCCATTGCTTTGCTCTTAGACCCATCTAATAGTGCAAAAACTCAATAGAAAAAGAATTGTTTGCTAAACAGTGCTGGCACTTCATTGTTGCATTTTCCTGCCTTTCTTTGTCTGCCTGCCACCCTCATTGTTGTCCTTTCTGGAACTTACTTAGTTTTCTTTTCACTGATTCATTCATTCACCACCTAGCACAGGAGTTTACAAACCGGAAATTCTCAGTCGGGTCATTGAATGGACAAGTTCATGTCCAAAGCGGGGAATCGTTGTGGCTGCATCTGTCCCTTAATCCTGCGGTCCCTGGCCCTGAAGGAGGTGAGCAGAAGGTGAGGGAGCAAAGCTTAGTCTGTATTTGCAGCCATTCCCCCATCTCTCGCATCACCGCCTAAGCCCTGGCTCCTGTCGGATCAGCGGTGACATTAAATTCACACAGGAGCGAGAACCCTCCTGTGAACTGCGCACGCGAGGAATCTAGGCTGCTGGGTGCTTATGAGAATCTAACGCCTGATGATCCGAGGTGGAGCTGAGGCGGTGATACTAGCCCCGGGGAGCAGCTGCAAACACAGATCATCATTAGCAGAGAGGTCTGGCTGTGCAATAAATGCAATGTGCTTGAATCATCCCGAAACCATCCTTCCTACCCCCCAGTCTGTGAAAATCTCACCTCCCGTGCAACCGGTCCCTGGTGCCAGATTGGGGACCACTGCTTGAACCAGTTGAGCCTCGGTTTTCTCATCTGTAAAATGGGGATAACATTTACCTGCCGCCTTTCCCTCCCGTTACGAGTTTGCAAAGCACATGAAAGGGCTTTGCAGGGTATGAAGCGTGGGGCAGATACAAAGGCTTATTAAAATGGCTTGGAACGTTCGATAGAAAATATTGCTGGCCCAGACACTGTTAGAAATGTTCTTAGACATTGACACTCTTTATTTTTTTCACATGTGCTTTTCAAAAAAGCTGTTTTCTCCTGATTGGTGTGGGAGATGATGGGAAATTTTAAATCTTCCAACCTACATACTACTGTTAGCACTTGACTAATTAAGGACATCCTCAGACCAAAATAATCCTTTATGCAATTTCGGTCCCAAAGCCTGCACTCTCACAAACCTGATTCACAAGCCAAGCTGCTTGGCCCGATGCCTGCAAAACTTGTATCGGAGGACTTGGCAGCCTTCTTTGGAACGGCATGGAGCAGAAACAGGGCCTTGTCGTCAAATTGTGTGTTGGAGATTGTTCTTTCTCCACCCACCAGGATGGTGTCAAACCAAGGAAACAAAAGCAGGACCAGTCGCTTGGATACCTGTCCCCAGGTCTGGGGTCCCCAGTGGTCTCATAGTCTGAAAAGCAGCATTCCTTCCATCAGGATGGGATATTTGGCTAAATATGCCCCATTCCAAGGGCAGGCTTTTAAAGTTTCTGTACATGCAATGCTTTTGTCTTTTTTTTGGGGGGGGGATGTCCTGTCCCCAATATGGGTGGGCATCCCCAGAAGGTGTAAAAAAACCATTTTTTTTCTTTAGGTATACTTGTGATATATGCTAATAATTAAATGGGCTTCCTTGCAACCTACTCTTAATACACCATCCTATCCCTTGTTCCTTGTCCTTACCTCTGTACAAATTTGCAGGATTGTGGAAGAGACACTGAAACACCGGGGTGAAAAATACCTAGTTTCAGACATTGTTTTCTTTTTCAGTGATGAACAAAAAAGGTACATGTTGCTACAAAGTATCTTATTGCCTGATGCTTATATCTTACGGAAGGTTTTAGTTGTTTTTTGATAGATCCTTCTCTCTGTCGACAGGGAGGCTTATGCATGCAGTTTTTAAAGGACTGTCATTACTGGAAAGTCTGATCTAAAGGGACGAGCATGAAAAAAAAAAGAATAAAAAAGTTAAGAAACGCCAGTGAATCAGCTGTTGCTTCTGAGTTTGTTTCCCACCTGTTCACCAAAAATGCTATTCTTAATCCACCTCACTTAAAAAAATATATATATATCTTCTGGGTTTATGGAGTCTCTGTAGTCAAGTCAGATCGTCCTGTGCACTGAAAGGAAATGAAGAAAGATGTGAATTTTTCTGCTTTTAATTCTTCCATTTGGTTTTTGTGCAAGTCTGCAGAAAACAGACTTCAGTTTCTAGCAAAGAGAACAGTGTCCTCTAAAGATGTCTCAAGTGTTTAAGTTTCCCTGTTGTCACATATTTGGTGTATGGGGAAGAAGTCTGTAGCCCTGGTTGTACATAAGTCATTCCATGATTGGAACAAATTTGTGTAAAAGTTTTGTACCCTTTAATCTGGGATTGGCATTTCACATTAAAAGTCTTAATTATTGAAGCATTTCTCAGCTTTGATGTTTGAACTGTCAACTTGCTTTAATAACTGTTGTTTTTCCCTCAACTTAAAAAAAAAACACATTGTGGTTAGGAGCTTTGATTTAACAACTGGTTCAAATCCTGACTCCACCACGACTAGCTCTCATATATAGTGGACAAATCAGAATAACTCTCATGGAGCCTCGGTTTTCTCATCTTCAAACTGGGGCTCGCAGTTTGTACCCACTAAATTGGAGAACACATGGAAACCATCTGCAATAGGGCCCACCTGGCATAGCTCTGGTGATCAATAGATGGTAACAGTTGGCAGCAGATATTATTAAGAGATGTCTTTTGTCAGCTTTGGACACCCTTACCAAGTGTAGAGAGCTGAACTGGCTCTCTTGAATGATGGTTTTGTGCCCAGAGAGTAAGAAGGATGAACGTGAAATGTGTTTATACCTTGGAGAAATGTTCTAGCTACGCATTTTGTGCCACATGTATTTTTTTCTATGAGACATTTAGTACTTTCAAATCGAGACCTTTTCTTAGGTCTACCTGGGCAAGGTTTTTCTCCAGAATTAAATGTAGGGCCCATACCTTTCAAGCCTTAAACCAAACTAGACGTCAGTAATCCAGCCAGAGAAACATCTAAATTTGAATGAGAATTCCCAGGTCAGTTTTAACCATAAAACAAAGATCAGGGTTTAAATTGATTTAGCTTTTGAAAAGTGGAAACTAACTTATTACTCTTTCTTTCTTTCTTTCTTTCTTTCTTTCTTTCTTTCTTTCTTTCTTTCTTTCTTTCTTTTTCTTTCTTTTTCTTTCTTTTTCTTTCTTTCTTTTTCTTTCTTTCTTTCTTTCTTTCTTTCTTTCTTTCTTTCTTTCTTTTCTATCTATTTTCTTTCTTTTCTATCTATTTTCTTTCTTTCTTTCTTTCTTTTCTATCTATTTTCTTTCTTTCTTTCTTTCTTTCTTTCTTTCTTTCTTTCTTTCTTTCTTTCTTTCTTTCTTTCTTTCTTTCTTTCTTTCTTTCTTTCTTCTTTCTCTCTTCTTTTCTATCTTCTTTATTTTCTATTTTCTTTCTTTTCTATCTTCTTTCTTTCTTTCTCTCTCCCTCTCTCTCTTTCTCTCTCTCTCTCTCTTCCCCCTCCCTCCCTCCCTCCCCTCGCCCTTTCTCTCTTCTGTCTCTCTCTGTCTCTCTCTGTCTCTGTTTGTCTCTCTCACGCCTACCTTACTGCAATGGCCCATTCTGAAGGGTTTCAGTGCCTGAATAATTCCAAGGAGAACGAATCCTCAAAACTTAAAATGCTTTTTGGTGTTTGACTGTTAGGTTTTTCCAGCACGAATTACCTCGGGGGGGGGGCCTCCTGGTAATGCCTGTCTTCTCTTGATAGACGGAAGTCGGAGACTGTTTTATCTGAGAGCGTAACATCACCCCCAGCTCTCCTGCGCAGATTACACTTTAACGACATACCCAACATGCTCTATGGGATGCTTACTGGTTTTCAAGCAAAACATCCAGATATAATGAGAGAAATTGAATCCTGAATTCCAGGTTCATCTAAAAATATTTATTTATTTTTTCCCCTAAGGGGAAACAGAGTATATGTAAAGCAATACTGCTAAAACTTGAATGGGGAACAACAGCTTCATGCTCATCAACTAGGGGAATGGCCCACTAATGAGGGATACATTGAGTGAAAGAAAATGACAACTGTTTACAGATTTTGGCAACATTTAAAGTGTGGGGCCCTTCTTCTCCCTGCGCCCAACAACTGTTTTAACAGCTGCTTTTCTTCTTCTTCTTCTTTTTTTCCCCCTCCACTCCTGGAAATCCTTCCATCAGGTTTTTGAGTCATGATGCAAGAATCTGGGACTGAGACAAAAAGTAACAGTTCAGCCATCCAGAATGGGTCGAGCGGCAGCAACCACTTGCTAGAGTGTGGCAGTCTTCGCGAGGGACGGTCCAACGGAGAGACGCCAGCCGGGGACATCGGGGCGGCCGACCTGGCCCATGCCCAGCAGCATCAGCAGCAGGTACTGGGCTGCAGAGTCTCGAAGGAGGTGCGAGGGTGGCGGGTGCGAATCTTACCGCGTGCTTTCACACTCCATCGCTACCGGTGTTTTGTGCTCACCTGTCTCCCCATCCACCTGCCTGTAAGTGGCATCTAATAGGCCCCCCGTCCTCTGGGTCTCCTCCTGGCTGGCTTAAGAGACTCGTTCTCGAATCCTTGGATGTCACCTTGCAGGGAGCGGTTACAGAGACTCAGATTGGGGGGGGGGGACCTCTGGCTGCAACCCCCTGGCCGGTCCTCAATGCGTCTGCCTAAACCTTTATCTGTTGTTTTTTTTGTGTGTGTGTGAGACAGAGTCTCGCTTTGTTGCCTAGGCTAGAGTGAGTGCCATGGAGTCAGCCTAGCTCACAGCAACCTCAAACTCCTGGGGTCAACCGATCCTCTTGCCTCAGCCTCCCGAGTAGCTGGGACTACAGGCATGCACCACCATGCCTGGCTCATTTTTTCTATATATATATTAGTTGGCCAATTAATTTCTTTCTATTTATAGTAGAGACGGGGTCTCGCTCTTGCTCAGGCTGGTTTTGAACTCCTGACCTCGAGCAATCGGCCCGCCTCGGCCTCCCAGCCTTTATCTGTTTTGAATAAAATTATTCTTGGGAGAAATGATTCCCAGTGCTTTAATTAAAAAAAAAAAAAAAAGGCAAAACAAAAATGGACGGGCTTTAAGCCTTACAAAGGAGGAAACAAAATAAGAGACAAGGGATAAAAGAGAACTAAGAGATATAAGGGGGAAAGGTTAGGTGAATTAGGAAAGTAGAAACAAAGATAGCAGGAAACATCCATAACACAGACATCAGCTTAGGAAGTTGCTTCCCGCTGTCTATAGGAATTTAAGGATAATGGGGTATTTATGTAGGTTTCTCGTGTTTATATGGCAGTTGGTATGTGGCTCAATCTTGCTGATGTTTTACATCGTTTCTTACGGGGGCCTCCCCAAAATGCATGTTGGTGCAGACATACTCATGTTACACACCCTTTATAAAAGTTAGGGAAGTGAGTTCCCCTGTTAAGTGATTGGTGACATAGTTCCAAACGGCACACGCGACCCAAGAAATGGTGTTTTCTTGGCAAAACATTGACAGAAATCCACATAGGTAAAATAGCATTTGCTTGAAGGCTGGCTTTGGTTTCCCAGCCTCTCTCGGAATCAGGAAATAATGTTAGTTTTTGTTAGCGATAAAGGGTGGTTTGTGTTCCATTTTCGTCCTTGATTTATTTATTCCATACATCATAGTTACAGCGCCATTTGGAAACAGGTGGGGGAAGAAGAATGGTGTATCTTAGGGGCTTTCTGAAAGACACAGGGGGAGTGCTGGGTGGGATGGGGGAGAGGAGGGCAACCTTTTCTCAGACCGTTTTCTTGGAATCTGTAGCAGAGAAGCTAAGGAAATACCTTCTTATGTCAGGGATACAGCTTTTAGACAAGGCCCTAAACCATGTTTCATTTTTTCCTTGCTAAGAATAAAAGTATAAGGACTCATTATTAGATTGTTAGCCCATTACAAGTTGGTGGAACCAACATGATACCATGCAACCTGTTGGGAGGTGTAAGATACAGCAGAGAGAAAGAAAGGGAAACTAACAGACAAGCCAAGTCTTAATCCAGAGTGGACTTCTGTGAGTGGTTTGGTCTCTCTGTCACTGGCAGCCCAAACCCATTTGTGCCTGAAATTTGGACTCCTTTCAGCTGGAACGTGCTGTTTGTTGTGTTATAAACTTTGTGCATTTAAGTTAATGCAGATGGCCACAGCCTAACCAAAGAGGTCGTTAGCAAAACCCCACAATAAAGGATATCCTTGTATCTGTGCTAGCGTATGTTCACGTGATATTCTCAGCTATTTATGATTATATTGAGACTAAACAGTTAATATTTTTGAGTGCCATCTTCGAGGCCCTTATCAGACACAGGTCAAACTCGACTCTTTCTCTAGGGAGCAGCTGAGATGGGGCTATTGATTGATGTGGTGTGAATCCGAAGTGATTAGTATTTAGGGTGCATTAATTAAATAAATGGGAAATTAACTCATTCTGAATTTTATTTGCGGAACTGAAAATGATGCAGGATCTCAAAGTAGTAAGCCAGCCAAAAACTAAAACACACACACACACACACACACACACACACACACTAACACCAATAACAAATTGGCTGCATGGAAGAAAGTTATAAAAGTGCATGTTGACATCATCATCCTAAAAAAGTATCGGGAGCAAAATTAATTATCTTTGTCTTCGCTCTTTACCTTGGTTGTGACCACTTTGGAAAATTGTTGTTATGTGTTTTTGACATAAAGCTCAAGAAATTTTGATTATACTCTGAAACTCTTTTTAAAATATTTTATGACAGTTTTATTTCTATTTGCCATTGATACGTTTTGGGGAAGAAAGAAAGCAGTTGGGTCTATCATTGTGGCTAAAACCCCACTTACTGTGGTTGGCAAGCCTTTTGAGGCCTCTTAAAATAAAATATTGACAGCTATGTGACTCCCCTAAGTACAAGATAAGGCTCTTAACAGGTTGTTGAGGAAAAGGGAAATCTGTAGAAGAAATAAGAAAAAAAAAGTACAGGGTTGAAAATGTTTCACAGGACTGTAGTTATCATAGTTTCCTTCCAAATTGAAAACTGCACCAATTAAACAGTTTGGAGACAGTTGTGAGCGTTCTGTGACGGACTTTGGTTGTTTTCATCATTTTTATTCTACAGGTTTGTACTTGAAGTGAGAATACCAACAGTGAGAAAATCACAACCATGCTGAATTCATTACTTCGGTAGTCACACAAAACCACGGATAAAATTTCAATAACTGCAGGCCACAGTTGAGTAAACAGTTGCACTGAAATTTAATTCCTGTTGACTTTTCCCCCACTCCTCGCCAGGGGCACATTCTGATTCCCTAGTACAAAGACAACAGGGGTTACAGCTTTGATTAATGTAGGACAGTGGAAGAGAATTAGAACTGTAAAATACGTTAGAAGTCCACGGAACACAAAGATCTGGCTCAGAAGGGCTTGGGATAAAAATGGGTTAATCATGCCTTGTGTTAAACTGAATGTTGTAGGATTTTCCAGTTGTTCCAATACCATCATTGATATAGGGGGAGTTTGTACCTGGTGGTAGAATTTAAAATAAATAAATGCAAACCTTTCCATGTTTGCTCCCTATTACCAAAAATAATTACAAATTACAGCAAATGCGCTTTTCAGAATGGAGAACTGTGGCAAAGATTTACTGTACAATGAGTGAGTTCCATACTGGATTTGGTTTATAGGTTGGCTGAATTGGATCTAAACAGAATTGTTTAAAAAAACAAGAAAAAGAAAGAAAAGAGAAGAAAAGAAAAAACCTAGTTGACAAACTAGAGAAACAGGAGAAATCTGGCTTTTCCATTTTCTCTTGAAAAATAAGACTATCTAGTAACCTTGGGTGGATACACTCACAAACTGTCTTCCTTCCTCAAACCTTAAATCTATTATCTCCCTAATATTTCAACTCTATTTATATCTGGGCCATGGAACTATTATAACAATAGTTTTTTTTTTTTAATAATGTAATTTGATAGAGTTTCTGAACATTTTCTTTTTATGCATCAAGTAATTCTTTACCCGATAACCATAACTGCTTTTTATTTCCTATTATGCCTGCCCCATTACGATGTCCGTGAAAGTTCTTGTATTGGCTATGCACTCCTCCATTACGAGATGGGGCAACAAATACTATTACCAATTACTAAAGTTATTTTTTTTTTCTGAAAGAAAGGATTTTAAAATGTCCAGAGCAATTTCATACACTGTGTGGATTAATGCATTTTAAAAGTCTTGAATTTTAGAAAGCAGAATTTTATTTCCATATTGCTGCAAATGAGAGCTTTTTCAGATAAGCATACTACATAGAGCATAATGTTTAGAAGTTTCTTCATATACAGCATATGCTGTCAGGTCAATTAACAGAACGCGTACTAGAAAATGTTTATTCAATAAAAATGAATAGCTGTTAAATAAAACAGCTATTTCTTAACCACATTGCATTTAATGATGGGTTTTTTTTCTTTTTTTTTTTTTTGGTACCACCTGGCAGTTTTATTGTCTGTAAGTCAGTCTAGAAAGAGGTTTGGTTGCCGTGGTTTTGAGGTGTGGCCATCGTTTTATACACGGAGGGCAGTGTAGACGAAGTCTGCAAGAAAGACATTAAAAAAAAAAAAAAGATGAGCTATATTTGGAATTTGAACATGTATTTTTTTTTTTTTTAGAGAGAGTATGGATAAGTGTTTATTTCACATAGCTTCTTTGACATTCTTCTCAAGGTGTTGGAGCCTATGGTCCAAAAAGCAGCGTCTGCATTTCATGTGCACAATGTAAAAGACAAAGTTGAAATGACTAGCAAGGAGGTGAGAAAGGCAAAAAGGATAGGGAACTTCTCTTGAAAAATTGTCACAGGGGATGAAGAAGGAGGAACCATTGGGTTGGATTTTTCCAATGAGCCATTGAAGGAGGTCAAAACCTAGTCATTCCACAGAACTGGGGAAGCTCAGAGAACTGGGCCGTGCATGGTGACAGTCATGTCCATTCAAAGGGGTTTCAAAAAATACAGTCTCTCAGGAACCTGGGGGAGTCACGAATAGATATCTTGTGGTTCTCTGATCATGGGAAATGGAGTTGTGAGGACCAAGTGTCAGCGTTTTCAGGGGAAGGTGGAGGGCCTTTTTTTTGTTTCAACTTAAATACACACATTCTTTTCACATTCAAAATGGCAGAATGGATCCATCCCTTCATTAGTTTTTCCTAGTGACATTCCTGGTGGGTACTGAGTAGAAGAGGGAGGCCGTCCTGCAAACATTTCCAGCTTTTCAACGGTCTCTGTGAGAAAGTGTCTAAAAGAAATAGCTGTCCCTGTTTGGATTGGCAGTCAGCTCGTTTGTCTGGAAGGAGCCGTCCCTTTGCATCTCGGGCTTGACCCGTATT